TAGTGGTCATATAATTGCGACTTAATGAGAATAACATCTGTGAAAATTTGGATTGAAATGGTTAAATAAATCTACATGGGGTGGGTAAAAAAGCTATAGTAGGTAATTCTGCCCTACGTAGCTAAATGTACTGATTGTACTGAACCTGACATTGACAAGATCTGTCTAACTATAGCTCCAAATATAGAGTACCCTCTCCCCTAACAAAATGTTAATTATACCTGTGTCTTCTACGATAATTTATCTACACAATCATACACAGCATGCTTGTCTTTATTTTCTTTGGTCTCCGTAAACATCGTTAAAACTCTGCTCGCCGAGTGGAAAAGTCGAATTCAACCATGAAATAGTATGTGCAAAGTATTCCCGAAAAATGTTAACAGATATCCTTGTTAAACGTTTTGAATTCTCAGACTGCAGAGTTTTTCACTATATCTTTTAAATCTTCCTCACAACAGTGACAACTCGCAAACTTGCGAACTTCCAGGACAAACACCACTAAATGTTTTCCCATAGACTTCCATACAAATTCCAATCACTGTCACTTATTTATTTAATCAATTTTAAAAAAATCAGTCACTTTAAAGCAAAGTCCAACACCTCTTCTTCAAAATTCCACCACGAAAAATATACACTGCCGCGGCGTTTTTCCTTTGAATTTTGGCCCGTTTCCAACTGGTGTAGATCCGCACTGAATGAAAGTGTCCAGTAAAATATCACCCCTCATCTCAAGTCTTCCTTTATAAGTCCTATATCCTTTTACATATTCTAATAAGTCACATCTCATTTTTGTCACTTATATTTCACTGTCAAATTCCACCACAAAGATTTTCGGTTAATGACCAATCAGGACTCCTGTCAGCTTTTCTCCTCCGCTCAATGTTGGGTGTCCAAAATGGCGGCCCCCTGTACCTAGGCAATTCTGGTGTTTTTCCTATAACCAAAAGGATAACAAAGTGAAAAAGTGGCCATTTTGACATTTTTAGATAACATGTATATTGTACATGTAAAATATGTAATATGAAGAAATTACATGAAAAAACATGTAAATTATGACTGTCTATTTAATGTACCCCCTATAAAGAATGACTGCAACTGTGATATGAAGACGTATTGAAAAGTGAACTTCGTATTGACTTTTACAGTGCTTATTCAAATAAAATATGTAATTAACTGACTAAAAGTGTTATTTCTTATGTTTTGAAGAGACTTTGAGGGATTACATGTAATTTTCACATTCCGGGTATATTGTACCCGGTTTTAAAAAAAATGGCCTAAAAATCACAAATTATTGAGAAAAAATGTCTTAAACATGTATTTAAATTTACAATTCAAAATGAAATCACTAAGCAGCTGACGGCCAATTAAGAGAAGGTTATCAAAAGAGATGAGAAGTAATTTGATCTAGAACTGTTGTTTCTCTATGGCAGTAAAACTGTCACTACCCCCTTCAATACACCTACATTTTGCAGTGAGGGTTTCTGGCTAATTCCTATCATGGCAATAAATTATTGCACGATAACACATTAACTTGACATGATGCTGATAGAGCAATGGAAAAAGCACATCACAAGTGAATTTCACTTCAGACAGAGTATCCATAGTAAAACTTTAGGTCATTTTTGAAAGATGGGGAGATTTAAAAAAGGGAATAATTACTGTTTTAAACAAAAAAATGTGCCTCACAACAAGGGAAAATTACTTAAAAAAGAAGAAAACTCACCTGCACCATTCACAAGAGTAGACCGGGAAACCCTGGAACTGGTCAGACATCCACCCTCTGTGAGTGAGGAGCAGGAAATGATGCTGCGGCCTGGGTGCCACCGGTTGCTGCGGCCAAGACCCCTGAAACAGGAGAATCCTGAGGTTTTGACGCAGGCCGAAAACATGGGGTAACGACTCTAGTTCTTTAAAATTTATTGAAATTTAATAAATGATACAATTTAACTAAATTAATTAGTAAATAACTTTTCTACTTATTATAAAAGGCCCATATAAGGCCAGTTTTCCTGAAATTAGGGGTATACCTAAGATCCTGTCAGATTAATAAGCTTAATTAACTCAAAATTAATTAATTCTCTAAATTATAGTAACAATCTTTAAAACTGAACATTTATTTGAGGAAAAAAGTTACAAAAGCAGATTCTTTAGACTGTGATGAGTCTTTTGTCTCAATTCTGAAAACAAGTATAGTCTAAGGGGAGTAACTCTAATTTCTGAAAATGAACTTACCTGGCTAGGAAGTGATCAGGTACAAAACTGGTTTCAGCAGCTGTGATACAGACTCCCACAGACTGGTCCATCTCGGAAAGACGAGCGAGATGTTCAATACAGCCTTTAAAGAACATGGGCGGACCAGTCCTGGCTGTGACGGCAGACTGACTTGGGACATGGACTCCGAGGAGAGGCGTGGCCTGAATACTCGGCTTCGGCTAAAATGCAGCAGGTGCCCTTCTGCGTCCGAAATGCACAACCTCTATGAGGAAGTGCAAACCAACTCAAGGGGAAGGAAAGCCGCAACTGTCAACTACGGCCTACAAGTAGGTCTAAGTCAAACCCCCATCGGCAGCTCATCACTACGCAAAATTCTTATGGCCACCAATACTCCACCGCCTTCTGAGTCTTCACTACAAAAAACAAGTAACACCGTCATGCAAAAAGTAGTCACCCTTAATAAATGTGATATGAAGGAAAGATGCAAGAAATTAGTTAATATTAATAAATTGCGGGGGGCACCAAACCCAAATAACATAGGAATACAGTGCGATGGGATGTATAATAACCCTCTCTACTCTGGGGTGGGGGAAACCCCCTTCCAGCCTGCTACCCAGACCGTCTTCTCTCTTGCAGAAGATGTGACCAGTAGTCACGAGATAATATCCCTAGTGACCAAAAACAAGATATGTCCCGAGGGTCAGCACCTCAAGAACAATCCAAGCCATGTGTGCACTGAGCAGACATGTGGGGCAAATATACCCATGACACAAAACATTGGTGACGAATTCACATGGGCCAAAGAGGGCATACAAGACCTTCTCAAGAATGATTTAAATGTCAAGGACATTACATCTGACCCCGATAGTACAATATTCAAGGCCGCAGAGTCTTTGTATGCGGAGGGCAAACTATCGGACGAACCGCGACATTTTGTCGACACTCGGCACCTTGCTGAAAATGTCAGAAAGGCCATTAAGAAAGATGAATCTTTACAGAAAATTATGCCCAAAAGTACTAAAGCTGAAAGAACCAAACTCCTGCATAACTTTGCTATAGATTTTACAGACAGATGCACTGGTGAGATAAACCAAGCTCAAATTAAATGCACAGGTCATGCAAGCAAAATTAAGAAGCAACTCTCTTATGTGAGTGATGCAATAATTTGCTGCTACATGGGTGAACATGCTTTGTGCAAAAAACACTCTTTAGTATGCAAGGGTGGAAAGAGAAATTGGCTCACTAAAAGTGCTTACCTTGATGGAAACTTCAAAATTCCATACTCCAGGGCCAATGCAAGGATTCTCCAGACCTGCGTCAACAGGCGGCTTGCCCCGTCAGTCCTAGACAAGTCCATTCTTAATACCAATACACAGAAAGTGGAGAGCTTCAACAGGCGTCTAAGGCGCTCACTGCCTAAGAATGTCACTTTCGCACGCAACTTCCACGGTCGGGCGCACAGTGCAGCTCACAGTACAAATAACGGCCCGGGGGAATCCATCAAGGTCTTATGTGCTGGTGTGGGTGCCCCCATCCCAGAGGGGGGAGGGTTAGTCAATCTCTGAAAAATATTCAAAATACTTATGAAAGGCAAAAAATATATCAGAAATCAAAAAAATATAGAAATACTAGAGTAATTAAAAGGAAAAAACTGTATAAACTTTATGAACAGCATCAGGAGGAAGTAAATTACAGAAAGAATATGATGTTTTCAAAGTCAGTTAAAGACCAAAAATCTCAAAATTTAAGCAAAAAAAATGAGCACAGCTATTCAAAACCCCTAAATAAATGAAATAAAATTTACATGTAAACCATAATTACATATAATGCACCAGGGCAAGTGTGACTTGCTGCACAGCCCCTGAGACTGGCAGTGATTCCTCTCCTGGTTGACAGAGTGGGACTCTAACACCAAGTGCTGGGGGTTCACACATAGCTTATTGTGACACAGGTGACTGCACTCTACATTGTCACGCGGAAACTGACTCCGTGTCTGTTTCCTGTCGACCATAAGGGCTACTCTGTGTGCCTTTTCCACCTTTCTACCCTCCTCTGGCCAGTAAACAGTTTGTAACCCATAGCCAGAGGAGGAAATCCTACCCCTCCAATACACACAAGTGTCCCCCTGGGGGCCCCGCTCACTTTTAACATGTAATTTTTTTTTTAAATTCTCAAAAAATGCATCCATTTTATAATGAAAATGACAAATGGCGCCTAAATTGCACTATTTTCTTACACTTACCTTATAAAGTAGTTCTTGCCTTCTTTGTATAGGACAAACACCACTAAATGTTTTCCCATAGACTTCCATACAAATTCCAATCACTGTCACTTATTTATTTAATCAATTTTAAAAAAATCAGTCACTTTAAAGCAAAGTCCAACACCTCTTCTTCAAAATTCCACCACGAAAAATATACACTGCCGCGGCGTTTTTCCTTTGAATTTTGGCCCGTTTCCAACTGGTGTAGATCCGCACTGAATGAAAGTGTCCAGTAAAATATCACCCCTCATCTCAAGTCTTCCTTTATAAGTCCTATATCCTTTTACATATTCTAATAAGTCACATCTCATTTTTGTCACTTATATTTCACTGTCAAATTCCACCACAAAGATTTTCGGTTAATGACCAATCAGGACTCCTGTCAGCTTTTCTCCTCCGCTCAATGTTGGGTGTCCAAAATGGCGGCCCCCTGTACCTAGGCAATTCTGGTGTTTTTCCTCCATGTTTGACTAAAGCGAAAGTGAAAATATGGCAGGTCGTGCGAATCATTATTCGTTTTCAGCGGTCATCTATTAAAAATAATTACTTCGTAGTGACTAATCAGATTAGCAGATTTCAAGTTTTTAGTGAAAACTGTACTATAATAAACTGTGATTGTGACACTTAACCAGCTGGTGACCTACACATATTTATAATGTAAATAAGCTAATAATAAATTACAACGTCAACGTGTCAGTCTTTCAATATAATTATGTAACTACATTAATCATGTTAATACTTACGAGTTCAAGAGTCCGCAAATTTCTCCCCATCCCTCTCTCCTGGCAACTGACTTCTTCTTTGTACCCACCCCTTAATATCCCCAAATAAATCTCCCTCCCTCTCCACAACGCATTGGATTAAAACAGTCTCCTCATTTTCTGTCCATTTCCGTTTTTTTGATGTTTCTTGTGTTGGTTTTGACGTTTCTTGTGTTGATTGTGTGATGTTCTCCATGTTATCAAATTTATGGAATGACAGAATGAAGCAGGCGTTTATTTACATTTGCAGACGTACATAAATTGCCCTTATAAGGCATATGCCGGGTACTAGCACGTGCGTGGCCCCGCATTTTAATATTTATGTTTACAATTTTCTTACCTCCAAAGCTGAAGATTTCCATTTCCAGAGTTGGAGTTCGTACTCCAAATCCGTTGAGTTTGACTCGGTGGAGAACGTACTCCAAGTGTTTTATAACCTCGATTTTAGAAACGTACTCTACGGAGTTCGTACTCTGAGTTTGGAGTTGGAGTTTGAGTATGAGTACGGTAAAAGTTTTATAACCTCGGAGCCAGTTGTTTATGTAGGATAATGTGTGTTATCGAAATGTACATTATATGAAAGTTGAAACATTATATGTACGACTTGAGAGGTGTGTGTAAAACTTCCGGTAATAAACAGCATGGCTCGCTCATGGTAGTTCTTCGTATATAAACGAACCCAGAACATAACATGGTGTCAGAAGCGGCTTGTTAATGTGTTTTTCCTGGCGAGAAGAATAAGCAGTTATACGGAGTAAGTGCATAGTTCGCGTGCATTGCTACATCCAGTATTTACGGACATTATCTGTCTAGTGATTTTCGCGCCGGTACAGACTTTGTTTATGATGGCGTCGTACCAGATTCAACCGCCAGAAAATTTTACATTCACAAAACCTGAGGAGTGGCCGAAACGGATTAAACGATTTGAAAGGTTTAGAATAGTTTCAGGCTTAAATAAGAAGGATGAGACAATTCAGGTTAACACACTTGTTTACGCCATGGGCAATGAAGCTGAAGACATTTTTCATTCGTTCGGATTGGGGGAAGAGGACGCAAAGAAATACGAGAAGGTCAGTGATAAATTCCAGGAACATTTTGTGTCGCGCAGAAACGTCATCTTTGAAAGAGCCAAATTTAATCAAAGAAAACAACATGAGGGTGAGTCCGCAGACAGTTTTATAACAGCACTGTATACATTAATTGAACACTGTGAGTACGGACTACTTAAAGATGAGATGATTCGAGACAGAATAGTTGTAGGCATAAGAGACAGTAAACTCTCAGAAAAACTTCAGATGAATCCGCAACTTAAACTCGAAGAAGCAATCAATCAAGCACGTCAGAAAGAGGCTGTACAGAAACAACAAGCTATTGTGCGCAATGAACTTACCTCATTCTCAGGAGAAACATCAAGTGTAGATGCTGTAAGTAATTCGAAGAAACCTACAGTAAGAAAGAAACATTTCCAAAACAGTCAATCTGGAAAGCCTGGCAAGAAAGAATTCATGAAACCGTTTGGTGGACACAATAACAAAGGAGCATCATCATCATGTCACAGATGTGGTCATTCGCAAGCTCACGGAAGGGATGGATGTCCAGCTAGAAACCAGAAATGCAACAAATGCCATAAAATTGGACACTTTGCTCGAAAATGTCAAAGTTTGCATGAAATTGCCATAGAATCGGATGAAGATGAAGAATTCTTGGGGGCGATACATGGAAGTGCAAATTCTGGTGACAGCAAACCGTGGTTGACAACAATTCAAGTGGACGGACATTCAGTTGAATTCAAAATTGATACCGGTGCTGATGTTACAGCAATACCCGAGCAAATATTCAAGACATTGAATGTGAAAAATCTACAATCTTCGCAGAAAATTCTGAAAGGCCCTGGTAGAAACACTTTGAACGTGATTGGAAAGTTTCACTGTGAATTCTCTCTGGAAAACCGTAAAGCGCATCAGGACGTATATGTCATTAGAGGTCTCAACAAATCACTTCTTGGTAGACCAGCTATTGAGAAACTTGACATTGTCAAACAGATTGCAAGCCTGCAGCTGCACTCTGATTACAAGCAGAAATTCCCTTCACTTTTCAAAGGACTTGGGAAACTACAGGGGGAGTACGAGATAAAGCTTCAAAAGGACGCACAACCGTACGCAGTCACAACACCCAGGAGAGTGGCGTTACCCTACCTAGAGAAAGTCAAAGCCGAGCTGCACAGAATGGAGAGCTCAGGAGTTATCTCAGTCGTAGATGAGCCGACAGACTGGTGTTCAGGTCTCGTTGTGATCCCAAAGAAAAACAACAGTGTTAGACTTTGTATTGACTTGACACAACTCAACAAGTGGGTACGAAGGGAGAACTTTCAACTGCCAAGCACAGAGGAGACCCTCAACAGACTCGCAGGAGCCAAAGTTTTTTCCAAGCTAGATGCGAACAGCGGATTTTGGCAAATACCTCTAGCTCCACCGTCTAGACTCTTAACCACGTTTATAACACCTTTCGGGCGATATTGTTTCAACAGATTACCTTTCGGGATATCATCAGCCCCAGAGTACTTCCAAAAGAGAATGCAGATGATCTTATCTGGTTTTGAGGGAGTTTTATGTCAGATGGACGATGTTCTCGTGTTTGGAGCCTCCCAAGAGGAACATGATAACAGACTAGAAAATGTGTTGAGGAAGCTGTCAAAGGCAGGCATTACACTTAACAGTGAGAAGTGTGAGTTCTCAAAAGATCAGATCACATTCGTTGGACATGTGATAGACAAGAATGGAATCCAACCAGATCCAAAGAAAGTGTCAGCAATCAAGAATTATGAGGCACCACAAAATGTGACAGAAGTTCGTCGCTTCCTAGGAATGGTGAATCAGCTCGGACGGTTCACTGCTAACTTGGCAGAGCACAGCAAACCATTGAGGGACTTGTTACACAAAGACAATGAGTTTACATGGGGACCTCCACAGGAGCAAGCTTTCAGCAAAATAAAAGAGGAATTGAGTGATAAGACTGTGTTAGCCCTGTATGACCCTAAAGCACCGACAAAGGTGTCAGCAGATGCGTCGTCGTATGGTCTTGGAGCCGTACTCCTACAAGCGACAGACAACAGTACTGACCATTGGAAGCCAATTGCCTATGCATCAAGATCTATGAGCCCAACAGAACAACGATACGCGCAAGTCGAAAAAGAAGCACTGGCAGTGACATGGGCCTGTGAAAAATTCTCCGATTTCTTGATTGGTATGAAATTCAGCATAGAGACAGACCACAAGCCTCTCATTGCATTATTAGGATCAAAGGCAATTTGTGATCTTCCACCTAGAGTTCAGCGTTTCCGCATGCGACTGATGAGATATGAATATGAGATATACCATGTCCCTGGTAAAACACTATACACAGCGGACGCACTCTCTAGATCGCCACAGCGAGAAATTGGAAGAGAAGAGGAGGAGCTACAGACAGCTGTAGAAGCGTATGTAGATAGCATCATAGAAACTCTTCCTGCAAGTGAGTCACTTCTAGAAGAAATTCGGAGAAAACTGCATGAGGACAGCGTTCTGAGAATTATCATGAAGTACTGTGAGGAGGGCTGGCCTGGTTATGAGTATCCAACGATCGACCTTGTCACTCGTCCTTTTTGGCAGATAAGAGAGGAACTTTCCATCTGTCAAGGTTTACTCATGAGAGGGAATCGACTTGTCATTCCTACAGTTCTCAGAGCCGAGATGTTGCAGAGAATTCATGAAGGACATCAAGGGATACTGAAATGTCGGGAAAGAGTCAGGAATTCAGTTTGGTGGCCAGGGATAAATCGTGAGATAGAAGACCTGGTGAAAAGCTGTTCGGTATGTGTGAAAAACAGACATGATCAAGCTGAACCTCTACGAACAACCAAATTCCCAGACAGACCATGGGAGATGTTAGGAACAGACTTGTTCCACCTGAAAAATGACAACTACTTACTTGTCGTTGACTATTTCTCTCGCTATGTTGAAATAGCCAAGTTGAAAAGCACTACATCACAGTCGATCGTAAATCATCTGAAATCGATTTTCGCTAGACATGGTATACCAGATATTCTGGTGTCTGACAATGGACCACAGTATTCTAGCTCAGTCTTTCAGACCTTCTCCAAGGATTATGGTTTTCGACATCAAACGAGTAGCCCTCACTATCCACAAGGAAATGGTGAAGCGGAACGTGCCGTACAGACTGTTAAACGTTTGATAAGAAATGCAGATGACCCGTACCTTGCATTAATGGCTTACAGAGCAACGCCATTAAAGAATGGAAGCAGCCCAGCCGAACTCTTAATGGGGAGAAAACTTCGGACAACTTTGCCGGAAAATCCAAGAAACTACTACCCGAAATGGCCAGACTTGGAAAGAGTACGTCAAGTGGAAGAACAATATCGTCAGAACCAAAAACTTAACTTCGACAAGTCAAGGAGAGCAAGACCGTTATCTCAGTTGAACGCCGGAGAAACAGTTTGGGTGAAGGGAGAAGGAGGAGGAACAACTGGGACAGTCAAGGCCAGGACACAACAAAGCGACCGTTCTTACATTATTGAAACAGACAACGGACCAATTCGCAGGAATCGACGACACTTGGAACCAGCTAGTATGTTGAAGGATGAAGTATTCGCAAGTGATACTTTCGATGAAGATAACGCGCAGTGTGAAAAAAATCCTCCACGTGAAAATGTGTGTGATGAAAAGTTGTCGTGCGAAACCCAAAACCAATCTGCGACAAATGTGAATAACAAACCTGTGCGCGTCGATCAAACAAGTTCGCGCATCACCAGATCTGGTAGAGTGTCCAAGCCAGTTCAGAAACTGAACTTATGACTTGTATATTTCATAGCTGTGTTATTGTTGGTTAATGCATGATTTGAATTAGATAAATTCTAATTAGTAATGTTCGTTAAAGTTTCTAGTCAGTAATTTCTAGTCAAAGTTTTGTTTGTTGATGAAAATGCGACTATGTTTGTAATGCTACAAATGTCGAAAATATTCCCTGATTTTTAAAGTAACTGTTTATTGACTTTGTAATATCTTGAAATAAGGGAGATGTAGGATAATGTGTGTTATCGAAATGTACATTATATGAAAGTTGAAACATTATATGTACGACTTGAGAGGTGTGTGTAAAACTTCCGGTAATAAACAGCATGGCTCGCTCATGGTAGTTCTTCGTATATAAACGAACCCAGAACATAACAGTTTAGAATACATATATGTGTCAACGGTTTCAATTTTTTTTTTTGTGCAGGAGGATATTGGAAAGCTTTCTGCCCATTATGGGAGACCACTTGAGGACCACTTTAAAGGACATAGAACTGTTGAACAACCAATATTTCAAGAGGACATTATTCAACAGCAGTTTTCTGCCTTCAAGCATCACATGTTTCTCTTAAGGTATTTTGCATATGTTTAACTTTTTGTTGTGAATTGTTTCAAATGTTTAAATTTATGTATGTTTTTAATTATAATATATTGGTTCTTGTAAGTAATTTACTTTGTCACTATCATCATTTGTCAAATTTGATTTTGTTCTCTGTTAATTCTTTTTGTTCTGTTTCTTCTAACAAATACTTTACAATTATTTATTTACAGTTACTTGATATTTTTGAATGTCATATGATGGATCATTGCCAATCATGATTGACATGGTATTGCTTTGAGTTTCCTTTGAGAGACAGGGTATGCCATAATAAAGTAAACTTATTATAAAGAATATTACTTTAGAAGAAAAAAAAAGAATCTGTAAAGAATATTACTTTAGAAGGAAAAAAAATCAGAATTTGATATCATACTCAGCTATGGCAGTGCTGATATATTGCCATTGATAGGTTTTTATCAAAAATTTATAACAGATATACAAAGATAAATTTCATCACTTTTGCCCTTAAGGTCAAGATCTAGTAAATAACTTTAGGCTAATTTTTGGTGCTAGATCCATTATGATGTCATAATCAATTTCAACTTTCTTTTTCCCGTACTTTACGACTTTAGCAGAATTATGTAGAAAATATGGTATTTTCATGACATTCAATTTGAAATCATATGAAAAGTAAACCGGATACCTATATTAAATTTGATATTGGTTTAAAGAAGAGGCCATGAACATACTAATTACCGTTTTCTGTGAGACTGTAGGCAATCTGGATACATTTCCTTTGTCGAATATGAAAAAAACTCCCATATTCATGACTGGTTTTTTTAATTTATTCATTGAAAATGACAGTTTAAAATACAGGTTTCCATCTTGTTTACCTACAAATTATGCCCTGAAACGCCTTATTTGACCAAGCTAAAGTTGTAAAGCATCAATAAAGGAATTTATTTCTCAAATTTGATAAATCTGTAGGCATCTTTCATTTACTAGATCTTGACCTTAAAGGTCTAAACACTTGATTTAATTTTTCATTACCAACATTTACAATTGCAAGCAAAGGGCATCTCAGGAGTAATTGGCAGATCCTGTATTTCTCTTGAGAACTTTACATGCTGACCCACTGTTGCAGAGGACATATCCTGCTATTGTTTACCTGGTGTCTTTGGCAGCTCTGATACCAAGCTCCACAGCATGTGTAGAAAGATTATTCTCACTAATGAACTCCCTATGCACCAGTTTGAGGTCTACGTTAAGTCAAAGTAATCTCGACCGTATGATACGTATTGTAAGTTGCGGGGCAGAGAGGCTTACCGCAAACCAACTTGTCCAATCCATTGAAAATTTCAAAGCTATGAAACAAAGAGCACTGGCTTTTTAATAAATGGCATTCAAGATTAAATGTTCTTGTTTTTTTTTTTTTGAAGAGGATGATGTTGATTATAAGTATTGTTAATTTTCTCAATTTGAGAAATATGTCGAGGATTTTTCCCAATTGAGAGGGACCCGGTCCCTGTACCAACAAGTGGAGTGACGGCCCTGGAATGCCATCTATTGCTCCCAGAACATTGGGGGGAAAAAACCTGCCTTAAGCTTCCCAAAGAAATCTGTTTTCGTTCTTATTTCTTCCCCATCAGATGGAAATTTGATGTTCTGTAGGTGATGGCAAAGGGATGTAAGAACTATGTCCATCGCAACACATACACTGGACTTTGAAATCCCATGCAGGTCTGCGCACTCAGAGTAAAAATGCCTTTTGTAAGGCATCATATGGTGGCCAAAATCTGTTAATAATTCAATTTCATATTTGTAACCAGATCATAGATATTAAGTGTAGATCTTGTCAAACTGGTATAAAGACATTTTTGATGTAATCATGTTTTCTTTAAAAAATTTTCTCTTACTAAATTTATCAGCAATCTTACAATATTTGCTTATTTAAAAATCAATAGGGCCTGAGGAGTGGGGCAGAAAAACACTAAAATTAATGCAATCGTTAAAAATCTTCTTCTTACTCCTGGATATCAAGTAGACAAACTGTTAGCATGAATGCGATAAGCATTGAGTTTTCTACCAAAGAATTTTATGGCCCCAGACTCAGCGGTTCTATTTTTTCTTGTCGGACTTCGAACATCATCCCGCACTAAATCAACTAGAGGTACTGTGAGCGATGAGCTCACTAAATGATACCCCCCGCCTGCCCTCCATACAGTTATAATGGCAAAGTCCATGTTTTGCTGTGGCCGGGAAACCCAAAATATGTGTCGGATCAAAAAGTAAAATAGGAGGTGCACAATGGCAATATCTTATACAGATTCTGTGAAAGTTTCATCAAATTTCATTCAGTGGTATGAGAGGAGTTGCGGATAAGAGATGGGTACCCCAAAGCGTAACAGACGGACGGACGGACAGACGGACGGAATTAACGATTACTATATACCGTATACCCTCCCGCTTTTCAAGCGGAGGGTATAATAACCTCGAAGAGGTATTGCCTAGGCAACCGATACCTCTCAATCATTTCGGCGTCTGACAGATAGTCCATTGGGTTGTTTCTGTCTCGAAACACCCTCAAACCCCTCTTTTTGTGCATCTTGTTAAAAGCGTCAAGAATAAGAAAAGCAGCCGTAATGAATATATATTTTTATTTACCATAGTAACAACGACTTATAGAACACCTTTGAGACGAAACTTGCGACTTGCGACAGCGTCCGGGTGGTCGTAGACTTCCGACCGAATTTCGTCGTAAGTCGCAAGTCTCAAATCTTGGTAAAACGGTCGTATGTCGTAAGTTCGGTCGTACGACCAAGTCTACGACGTACGACCTTTTGTAAAATGGGTCCCTGTCCCCTAAAAAAAGTTGATTGACATTTAACATGTTCAATGACATATACTGCATCAACATGAAATTAAGATGTTGTTATCAGTTTTGAACAAATTTTCAGTCCTTATAACCATAAAAAGCAATGCATAACAATTATTATGGATAAATGTGGATGAAATCAATTACCATGATGAAATACAATGTGCTTCGTCGAACACTAGCACACAGACTTTTGGCTTTAGGCAATGCCTAAAGACCTTTCTCCTTCTCTGGTGTATTGCTGCCTCTGGTGATGCATAAATAAAACTATAGTGCTTGTCCATGACATCTGTTTAGGCAAAATAATAAGAAATTAAAAATATAAACTCTGCTTATCTGAAACAAGTCAGTGTTCACAGTCCCATTACAGTTGTGGTACTTTTCTGCTCATACCCAAATCCAGACTTACTAGGACCTTTATCAAGTACATTAATTTTATACTGGGATTATTGCTTTATTTAGTAAATCAACTTTGATAAAAACAATAAATGATTAGGGGCCCCCTTAAAAATCTTTATCCCCATCTGAATTCAGTGTGGTTCAATTCACACATATTTCTTTCTTAGATATATTTTCTTGAGGAAGGGGCGTAAAAGATTTTTTTAATATGGACAATCCACATATGGAACAAAAGGAGATATCACTTACGCTGTGTGGCTTGGCGCACCTCCCATTAACTAAAACATTTATAATCTTTTATTTACATGTAAATATACCAAAATAAAATAAAAATAAAAGCACCGAAAAATAATCAGGGAGACGCGCGCTTACCTCCTCAGCAATCAAGGGTACCAAAATGTAAGTCATGGATTTACCAAATCCTGTTGGCAGCAAAGCGAATACGGCTTTCTTCTGTGAAATATTAAAGGCCGAGGTTTTCAACCGGTCGGTTTTCCTCAGGTAAGTTTGGTGAGGGGTGGAGCTTAATCGAAGCGGCTGAGAAGCCCCGAGGGAACAACGCTGGCCTGTGTATACTACCTATATACGCAGGATGTTACCTGAGTGTATTACCTGTATGCGTTTTCCTACGACATTGCAAAACGACGCCGTTTTTTCATGTGCAGTTCTCTTTTGCTTATGACACCATGAAACCCAGACTTGGTAAAATATAAAGAGAGTATGCAGTGTATATCGTGTCATCTAACATCTTGCAGCGTAAGTTTCCGAAAAATCAATAATTTTTTAAAAGTAATGATTGATGCTATCTTTTTTTCAACTCTCGTTGTAAAAATAGTTCGATTGATTGAATGTTGTTTATCGTCCTCCTCGAGAATTTTCCATCCATATGGAAACGCCACCACTTGCCGGTGGAGAGCTACAAATTTTGTCCTGTACTCAGGACCCAGGGCCATTGAGCAGGCAGGGATCTTTTTCGTGCCAGCACCTACTGTGACACGGGACGTCGGTTTATACGGTCTTATCCGAAGGACCGGTATCCACGTCCCACAGTGGGATTCTGAAAAGATTTGTCAAATGCATACTATGGTTTACCATTTGATTGAATTTGACTTCGCACTTGTCCCGTAAACAGGACTTCCATTGACCTATTTTGCTGAATCCATCTACCTTAAATACATATGTGCAACATTC